CCCTCTCTCCCCTCCTCCCAATCCACTCCCCATTCCTACCTCCTCCAGGGCAAGGACTCCCCTGGGGATTCAGCTCAGCCTGGTAGATTCAGTTGAGGCAGGTCCAGTCCCCTCCTCCCTTCACCTAGGTTGAAAAAAGTGTCCCAGCATAGGCCATAGCCCAAAAAGCCACCTCATGCACTAAGGACAGGACCTGGTCCTACTGCCTGGGGTCCTCCCAAACAGTTCAAGCTAATTGACTGTCTCACTTATCCAGAAGGCCTGATCCAGTTCATGGGGGGTCCTCAGCTATTGCTTCATAGTTCATGTGTTTCCACTAGTTTGGCTATTTGTTCCTGTTCTTTTTCCAATCATGGTCTCAATATCTCTTGCTCATATAATTTCTCCTCTCTCTCTTGTCGATTGGACTACTGGAACTCCACCTGGGGCCTGGTCATGGATCTCTGCATCTGCTTCTATCAGTCATTGGATGAGAGTTCTATCATGACAGTTATGGTGTTCGGCCATCAGATCACCAGAGTAGGTCAGTTCGGGCATTCTCTCTACCATTGCAAGTAGTCAAATGTGGAGGTATCTTTGTGGATTTCTGGGGACCTCTCTAGCACTCTGCTTCTTCCTATTCCATGGGGTCTTCATTTATCATGGTATCTCTCTCTTTCCTTGTTCTCCCTCTCTGTTCTTGATCCAGCTGGGATCTCCTGCTCCCCTAAGGTCTCTTTCCCCTGACCCTTGGCCTTCATTACCTTCCCATGTCCAGTTTGCTCATGTAGATCTCATCCATTTCTCTGTGGTTTTTTTGATCCCTGTGTCTTTCTTAGGGTCCTCTTTACTAAGTAGCCTCCCTTGAGATGTGAGTAGCAGTCTAGTCATCCTTTGCTCTACATCTAATATCCACCTATGAGTGAGTTGGTTCTTTGAGAAAATCAACAAGATAGACAAGCCCTAATCCAAACTAAGCAAAAGGCAGAGAGAGAGAATCCAAATCAACAAAATCAGAAATGAAAAGGGAGACATACCAACTAACACTGAGGAAATGCAGAGAATCATCAGGTTTTACTTCAAAAACCTCTACTGCACAAAACTAAAAAAATCTTTAAAAAAATGGATAATTTTCTGGATGGGTAACACATATCTAAGTGAAATCAAGACCAGATAAACTATTTAAATAGACCAGTAGCCCCTAAAGAAATAGAATCAGTCATTAAAATCTCCCAACCAAAAAAAGCCCAAGACCAGATGGTTTCAGTGCAGATTTCTACCAGATCTTCAAAGAAGAGTTAATACCAATACTCTTTAAATTGTTCCACACAATAGAAACAGAAAGAACATTACCAAACTCCTTTTATGAGGCTACAATTACCCTGATTCCCAAGCCAAACAAAGATGCAACAGAGAAAGAGAACTACAGACCAATCTCCCTCATGAACATTGATGCAAACATACTCAATAAAATACTGGCAAACAGATTCCAAGAATACCTCAAAACGATTATCCACCGTGATTAACTATGCTTCATTCCCAGCGATTTGCAAAGTTGGTTCAACACATGAAAATCTGATAATGTAATACACCATATAAACAAATTGAAAGAAAAAACCACATGACCATCTTATTAGTTGCTGGAAAAGCCTTTGACAAAGTTCAACACCCCTTCACAATAAAGGTCTTGGAGAGATCAGGAATACAGGGACACTCCTAAACATAATAAAGGCAAGTTACAGCAAGCCAACATCCACAATCAAATTAAATGGAAAGAAACTCAACACAATTCCACTAAAATCAGGAACAAGACAAGGCTGTCCACTCTCCCAATATTTTTTCAATATTGTACTTGAAATTCTACCTAAAGAAATAGGATGCAAAAAAGAGATCAAAGGGATAGAAATTGGAAAGGAAGAAGTCAAATTTTCACTATTTGCAGATGACATGATAGTATACATAAGTGACCAAAAAAATTCGACCAAGGATCTCATACAGCTGATAAACACATTCAGTAATGTGGCAGGATACAAGATTAACTCAAAAATTCAGTAGCCCTCCTATATACAAAGGACAAACAGGCTGAGAAAGAAATCAGAGATACATTACCCTTTGCCATAGCCACAAATAATATAAAATATGTTGGGGTAATTCTAACTAAGCAAGTGAAGGACCTGTATGACAAGAACATTAAGTTCCTGCAGAAAGAAACTGAGGAATATCTCAGAAAATCGAAACATGTCCCATGCTCAAGGATAGGTAGGATTAACATAGTAAAAATGGCAATCTTTCTAAAAGCAATCTACAGATTCAATGCAATCCCCATCAAAATCCTCAAACAAACTGGGAAAGAATAATACTCAACTTCATATGAAAAAACAAAAAACCCAGGACAGCTAAAAGAATCCTGTACAGCAAAGGCATCACGATCCCTGACTTCAATCTCTACTATAGAGCTACAGTAATAAAAACAGCTCAGTAGTGGCATAAACACCAATGAAATCAAACTGAAGAACCAGACATTAATCCACACATGTATGGACACTTAATTTTTGACAAAGAAGCCAAAATTTTACAGTCGGGGGGAAAAAACAATCTTCAACAAATGGTGTTAGCATAAATGGATGTCAACATGTAGACAACTGCAAATAGATCGACATCTATCACAGTGCACAAAGACATCTATCACAGTGCACAAAGCTTAAGTCCATGTGGATCAAAGACCTCAACATAAATCCAATTACTCTGAACCTGATATAAGAGAAAGTAGAAAGTAGTCTTGAACGCATTGGTACCTGATATCACTTTGTAAATATAACACCAGTAGCACAGACATTGAGAGCAACAATTAAAAGATGGGGCCTCCTGAAACTGAGAAGCTTTTGTAGGGCAAAGGACACAGTCTTTAAGACAAAATGACGGCCTACAGAATGGGAAAAGATCTTCACCAACCCCACATCTGACAGAAGACTGATCTCCAAAGTATATAAAGAACTCCAGAAATCAGACTTCAAAATACTGAACAATCCAATTAAAAAATGGGGTACAGATCTAAACAGAATTATCAACAGAAGACCCTCAAATGGTTGAAAGACATTTAAGGAATTGCTCAACATCCCTAGTCACCAGGGAAATGCAAATCAAAACAACACTGAGATACCATCTTAGACCTGCCAGAATGGCTAAGATCAAAAACACCAAAGACAGCTTACATTGGATAGGACAACTGACTTTGATTGGAATGTAGACATTATTTAAGAAACTGAACAACCAACAACTGTAACAAGAATAACTCAGGACATTAGGGGCTCTTCCTCGAGGCTTCAGCCTACCCCAATAACCAGGAGCAAGAGTGAGAAACTGATGAAAGCTCAGGGCACAGGTGGAGCACATGTTTGTGCTTTGGACCACAAGGCGAATGAAGAACTCAATTTTGCATTTCAGGGTAGTTGGAGGACTCCTTGGAACAAAGCCCATCATCTTGTTTGGAAATGCAGTAATGAGGAGAAGGAAGGCATTGGCCATAGCCAAGTTGATGACAATAACCTGTGTGGACCTCAGTCGAGAGCCAGTAAACATGGGAGAGAAATTGTGGAAAAACAGAAGAATGTTGGCCAGAGTCCCAGTTCCAACCTGGAAAAGCAGGAGAGTCTGGAGAGCGAATTCCTCAGTTGTTTTTAGAGCTTTACTCTGAGAAGTCATGGAGAGGTCTTCTGTGCAGCCTGTAGTGAAGACCAGGAGGAACACTGCTGTCTTCAAAATGCTTCTCAGCGTGGCAGCGGCGGCGGTGGTAGCAGCAGCAGCAGCAGCAGTGCAAGCCTTTATTCCCAGCTACACAGAGAAACCCTCTTTTGAAAAACCAAAAAAAAAAAAATTCTCAATTGTTGGAGTATTAGAATGATTTGAGTCTTTACTTCTTCTATGGAGGGAGACACTACAGTATCACAGTACCAGAGAACACTGCAAAGACAACTCAGAGTATTATTTTGTACTTTCCCTCACCTCATGATGGAAGTGTATTAGTGATACAGCTGTATCATTCTTGGTCAACATCACACCCATTGTAAAACATTATGGCATATAAACACATGAACAGTGAACATGGTAACACATTTTTTTTTCTTTTGAATGAAACATTTTCCCTCAATGGTAAATTGTATTAAGAAATACAGCTACGGCCAACAGGGTCATACAGGCCCGGCAGCAGCCGGCAGAGACATACAGGCCCGGAGACAGTCCACAGAGGTAGACAAGCCCGGCAGTAGCAACAAGCAGAGGCAGTGACGCCTCTAACCCTGACACCTGGGGAAGAAGCTATCTCCGTGGGACGGAACCAGAAGAAATCTGAACACTCTGTCTGAGGATAACCCTGGGCCCAGCTGCTGATCCTGCAAAACCCAACAATTTGGAGGTGTTGGCTCAGCTGAAATCCATCAGGGAGAGGATTCAGATCCCTACAGTTTGAAGTCTGAAGAAACAAGATCAGCTGAAGAGTTGACAAATAAACAAAACGTGACTTGGGAACATAGAAGAAGGCGCTGCCCAGCCACCAAACCAGATCACCAGAATCATAAGTATATACCTCACCAACTGAGATCAGCTGCCCCTGAAGAAACAGCCCAATAGCACCAATTTAACCAAGAACCCCTACTGAACCAAGACTGAAAATTAGAACAAGGGAGGCACTCTCAGACACAGACACCACCTGCACCGAGCAGAGGAAGAGATGAGTAGATGCCAGCGCAAAAATACAGGCAATAACATAAAGACCTATATGGCAACATCAGAACCTAGTGATTCTACACCTGCAAGACCTGAACATACCAAGACAGAAGAAACAGAAGAAATCAACCCTAAAATCAAATTTAAGAAGATGATAGAGACCCTTAAAGGAAAAATAAAACATTCCCTTAAAGAAGAAATAAAAAATTCCCTTAAAGAGGTAATGAAAAACTCAATTAAAGAGGAAATAAAAAACTCCCTTAAAGAAATGGAAGAAAAAAATGAACAAAAAATGGGAAGAAATCAAAGAAAGCCAAGAAAAAGCAATTAAACAGATGAAAGAAACATTCCAAGATCTGAAAAATGAATTTGAGACAATAAAGAAAACACATGCTGAGGGAATGCTGGAAATAGAAATCCTGAACTACAGAAACATGCAGAACCAACCAATTTCAAGAGATGGAACAGAGAATCTCTGGCACTGAAGACACAATAGAGAAAATAGATTCATCAGTCAAAGAAAACACTAAAGACAAAAAAGTCGTAACACAAAACATCCAGGAAATTTGGGACACCATGAAAAGACCAAACCTAAGAATAATAGGGATAGAAGAAGGAGAAGAATACCAACTCAAAG